TTGTTTTGGTGATTTCAAATGTCAACATTGGCTACCAGAAATCGTTTACCCCACCTTTAACGGCAATTTACCAGTGAAGTATGTGTGAAAGGGACTAAACTCTTCCTCTGCATCTGCGGTGAGTTTGGGTTGCTTAACGTTCATCTGCGGAAACTGCGTTATCTCACTTAACTTGTAACTTAAGTCATTTATAAACCTATGCCAACACAGAATACATCAACATATTTCTAAATATGCCATTTATTGTAGATCGCGATTTCAAAATAAAAGTTTCTCACTTTGCATATGGCCAAATATTGCAATTGCTGCATCACCAGTCTGTTGGCGCCCTCTGCAGGTATTTGTTATAATATAGGCATATTACATGATGTATTTAACAGTTGTTCAATAAAACCATGTACTTTGTTTTGATACTTTATTTGAGCCAATTTTTATTACCTCATCGTTAGTTTATATATAAATATAGTCGTATTAAAGGGGTCATATGATGCGATTTAAATTTTTCTTTTCTCTTTGGAGTGTTACAAGCTCTTGGTGCATAAAGAAGATCTGTAAAGTTACATTGTTCTACTTTTTGTAATTAAAAAACAAATATTTTGTCATTCAAATATTTCTTAAAGTATTAAAACATTGTCTCGTTCTATTGAACCAAGTATATGCATTTTGTTTCATCGCGTGAGCTGAGTTTGTCACACCTCTAGTGTCGATAAGCGGTGATATAGCTCATAATTTTCCAAGTGTATGATATAGCCTAGCTTTCATTCTTCAGGTCAATCATATACTCGTGAAAAAAAAATCAGTTTGAATAAGATAACTTTGCCATAGTATCCTTTCAAATGTTAAAGTTGCCACAGTCATTGCATTCTTTGCATGTGCTGCACTTTATTTGTACCATTTGTTTTATTAGTTTATATATTAGAATTTGAAAGACAATAACAATATTTTTTTTGATAAGTGATAATCCCATAAGTTATCTGATTTTAGTCCTTGAAAACCAAAAGAGTAGTGCATGAAAGGTCCTTGAAAGTCCTGGAATTTCATTTTGCAGTATCTGTACGAACCCTGTTTAAGTTACCAGTTACAGTGGTGTCACGGGGCTTAGCAACCGGGTTTGAGTGATCCCATGCCGGCTAAGAGCCCGCGTGCTCACTCTCCCTGCAGCACTTTGATCCGCCGGTGTGTTTACACGTAAGGATTAACGCCCCTCGTTACATTGAGCGGCTCCATCCTTCTGGGCGGATCGGAGTAGAATGTTGTCACCAATGATTTCATATCGTTGACATAGGGCTGGACAATAATTCAATATCAATATGTATCGCGATATAATTTTTTTCAATAACGGTGATATGATTTTAAAACACATTTCCGATATTACGATATACATTACCAGTGTTTCCCATACATTGATTTATTTGTGGCGTTTGACTTCATTAAGAAATATATCATGATATAAATTTTGGCCATATCGTCCAGCCCTACGGTGACAGCATTGCATTTGTGTGTGCGTCGCTGAGGCTGTGCTCACTAAGACAGGCTGCTTTCACTTGAAAGCAGGAATCTCGCTCTTCTTCGCTCGCGCCCTTCTTCAATGAAGGTAGCCCACTCTCAACGTTTGTCTTCTCTCAGCGAGCTCGGAGAAGGAAACGGTGAAGTAACGGAGCTGAGCAACCGGGTTTGAGTGATCTCACGCCAGC